GATGCCGGTACCCACATTCTTAATGCTGCCACCTATTATCCGGGCAGGTGTTGCTGCACCTACGTTCCATACATTATAACCTTCGGTAGCCAGGTTAGACGCGGCACCGTCTATGCTGTTATTCTCCAGTGTGGAATTAGTGGTGAGCGATCCCAGCAGGATAGCGCCCCATAGTGTTTCAGGACCGGGAGTAGCTACTGCATAAAGTTCATTGTTGGAAAGCGTGTAAGGACTTGCATTCGTCGATTGCAGGTTATGGAAGATACCTCTGCGACGCGTTTTAATAATATTACCGGTAATGACCTGATAAGTAGCAGATCCCGGATTGGCACGGTGGAAATTACCGGTTTGAATACCGACCCGTGCACTGTCGATCACATTGTTCTCCACGCGGGTATACTGACCGTTGTAGATCAGCACCCCACCACCCCAGCTGTCAATACCACTGGACACATCGTAGGTACCCAGGTTTTTTATCAGGTTATTGCTCACCAGGTGTCCGGAAGTCGCAGGCGCTGAAAGCGTGCCGCCAAAAATCGTTACCCCCTGGTATGAAACATTGCGGATAATATTGTTCCTGACCTTCAGATTGTTTACGTTGTCGGTATAAGCAGCGATCCCTTCATAAGCATCGATGTCCGCACCGTTCGTTCCCTGGAAACCACTTGTAACAGCAGGGTTGTCGCCATCAACAGTAAAGCCGTCAATAGTGATATTGGAAGCTTTTACGTCCACGATCCGCAAGGCTGCAATGCCGCCCGGAGTAACCGGTACAATAACGGCTTCCGGTACGCGTGTTCCTGTATTAGGATTGATGCCGGCATTAGGACCTAATAAGGTCAATGGTTTATTAACGATCAGCTCTTCCTGGTAAGTACCGGCTGCTACCGTGATGGTATCACCGCTCAGGGTTCCTGCATCACTGATGGCTGGCTGTATATTATAGTAGCCTTTGTTGCGGGTGATGTTCATTACCGGGAAGGTAATATTGGTACAACCGGAAGCGGTATAAGCATTGCCGGTTTCGGTGCCTGCATTGGCAAACGAAGCAGGTGCTATACGATAGGCTTCCAGGCCGGTGATATCATTGGCACCGCCAGGATTGCTGCCACCAAACTGCGATGGTACCTGTGCGGTATAACCCGGTTCGCTAACAGCAGCGGCTACCACGGTTGGCGCGGTAGCACTTCCAAACCAGTTGCACGCTGCATCATAACCCTGCACATCTGATGGCGCTATGGTTTGATGCGTATTGTTCTGATAGTTGATGCCGGAATACCAGTTGCCATAGAT